CATGCCGGTGTTCGTAAATGCATGCACGCGAATATGTATGAATATGAAATGGTTGATTGTCTTATTCACTTGGATATGTATTCGTCTTTTGCTTATTATTTTACTTAGCGACTATCTTTAAAATAGATACACGAATGAGATGTGGAAACAAAATGCCTTTATTGAAGGTAACATAATTCAGATATTGAAAAATATTACAATCTTAAACCAATACTTTATTTGCGTGAAATCAAGCAAAAGGAAATAAGTCTTCTAGGTGTGCCTGCGGATATCTGATCTGGAAGTCATCCACCTTGACCTGACAAAGCTTGAGAGAATCTTCAGCATGTTATTTCCTTTTCGTGGCCTTGATTTCAGACATGTTTGGCGTGTTGACGCGGGCAATTTGTTTCCTTCGGTATCCAATTTTAAAGACAATCACCGAGATCTTGATTTTATTTTTATCTTTTATACCCCCTTGTGAATAAGACAAATGTAGGGTGACAAATATATGAAATGCATGACGAATACATGAAATGTATGAATGCGTAGATGTAGGGTTGAGTGACGCGATTTTTGTGATAAGTACCCCTATAAGGTAGGGATGTATGGTTCAGTGACGGGGTTTTATGATAAGTACCCTTAGAAGGTAGGTTCCTTAATTTTGACCTAAGGTTAGTCTACCCTTCCAGAAGGTGGTTTCCTTAAGGGTATCATGAATAACACCAGAGGGAAAAGGCACAAGGGCCTCCCTTAGGTAGAGCCTCTTTACGGACCGAAACTTTCATTTCAAAGTCGTGAAAGGTCTCGTCATGAGATTTTAGGTTAAGGTCTTTACAAAGAGTCATTGGTGACCTTCCAAAGTCCTACTCGTCAAGAGGATATCTCTCGATAAGTATTTCTTTTTCGGAAGTTCTCCGACTCTAGGCGAAGTCGTCACATAAACTCGCAGGGATGATGTACCCCCTAAGCTAATAGACGAACCTTCTTTCTAAAGGTTATTGAAAATATTATTTTTTTGAGATAAAAATTCCCGCCACGCAGTAAATATATGATAAAAAGAATTGATAATAAATAAATAAATGTAATAAATAACTAATGTAATAAATAAATAAATAAATAACCCCAAATTAAAAACCCTAAAACCTAAAGTTGAAGTCCCCAGCAGAGTCGCCAGCTGTAGCAACTGGTTTTTTAATCAAGAGTCGCCACTATTAGTTTTTATCCTAAGGAAGGGAACCTAACAGAAAACCCTAATTTGCAGACAAAGATTCTAGGTTTCAGACTCAATTAGACGAAAGGAAGGTGTTAGACAACTTTCATCTACCTTGTTCACAAGGATATTAAGCTCTAGGTTTAGGTTTGGGGTAAACAGGGTTTTAAGTTTTAATTAGCAAGACTCGCCACGATTTTAGATCGCGTGCCTATGTATCCTCTTATGAGGAATCAGAGTCCCAATTCGTAGTTCATATGGGTTGGTGTCATTTAGGGGTTTGCAAACATATTTTGAATCACTTTGCACTCGGTCGGGAATAGTGATTGTGGAGATTTTGACTGAGTGCACAGTAAGTCAAAATTAGTTTGAAACCCATTTGCAAAAAGGACTGTTGATTAGCTTAATTTGTTTGCAAAAATAGTTTGAGATTTGTTTGTATTTTTTAATAATATTAATTGCAAAAAAGTCTTGATTAATGCATGATAAAAAAAAGATTTAATGCAATATACGTGAGAATAATATATGTACATGAGTTTTTGAGCAAATAGTTTATTTGATCATATAATAATACTTACATATAATAAATAATAATATAAAAATAATAATAATAGAAAAATATGATAATAAAAATTAATAATAATAATAATTATAATTATAAATGAAGAAAAGAATAAGTAATTAATAAAAAAAATATGATATAAAAAGAAAATAATAAAAAAATAATTATAATTTAGGTAAACCTGGGGGGTGTACATCTAGTTGACCAGTAAATAAAAGGGGTGCTAATATAATTCTGACTAGGCACGTTACTGCTGGCTGGACAAGGGGGTGTATGTTATTTGGCAAGTTAGTAAACAGTTGGAAGGGGGCGTGCATAGCAGTGGGCTTAGGCCCGGGCATTTTTGAAAGGGGGCATGTTGATTGTGTGTAGCAAGGTTTATGGATCTTATGGTGGGACTTGGCCTTACGGCCGTCCCACGAGGATCAAGCGAATATGATTAAAGAGTGCATGATAGTTGTGGTAGTCGTGCATGTACATGATTAGACGGATAATAAATTTTTATTTTAACTTTTGTTCATTTTCACTTTCAACTGCATTTCACAGAACCTATATTTTTTTTTCAGAAAGAAACTTTATCCCCTCTCTCCCTTGCCAAAAACCAAATGAACCCTAAATTCTCAATTCCTTTCCTTCTTCTTCTGTGATTCACAAAACGACAGGGAAAGCAAATGAAGTATGATAAAACAAGAAGCAAACCATAATCGAATAGCCTGAGATGGTCGTGGTTGTTGTTTTGTGGGTTGTCAATGGTGATGGTGACGACAAGCTTGAGGTGGTGTTAACAGAGTGACGGAGCTTAGTGGTGACTCGCGGAGGGCAACAACAAGCGATTACGGTTTCCGATCTGTAAACTATAATCGCCTCATTTTCTTGTTTTCAACGGTAAAGAGCTCGCTCAAAAACTTTCTTCCTCGTCTCAGTAATCTTCTCGTCCCCTTTTTCTATCCAGACCTCGCCTTCTTCTTGTTCTCCCCCTGTTCTCTGTAAATTATCCTTCCATTTCTGTATTCAATTCTGTTTATTTATAGTTAGTATTTTTAGGGTTAGGATTTGGAGCTTGCGAATTGTCGTTACAATTGCTTAGATTTACGATTTAGAACAATTAGGGATTTGAGATTTCTGTTGTAATTTTTCTTTTTCAGATTGTAATTTGTAATTGATTGAATATATTTTGGGACCGAGATTTGATTTTGCAATTTGTTCTGTTTTTGCTTTTACTGTTAATTTGGGATTTGGATTAAATGTAATAGATTTGATTAGCAGAAAATATTTGATTGAGTTTATTTGTTATTGTTGTCATTTCCATATTTGGTTTATTGGATTTGAGATTGACTTCGTTTTTAGGTTGTATTGTCTTTTCTGGATTCGATTTTGGTAAGATTTGAACAGTGCCTGTTAATAAACAAAACCATGCGCTAATTCTGGCCAATTGGAACAGTGTCGGTTTTTTTTATTAAATTGGGCCTTGCGTATTATCTATTTTACTCAGCCCAACTACATTAATTATTTTTATTTACAGCAAAACATTTCTTTGTTTGTATAATCGGGCCCAATCCAATAATTCATTATCTCTTTATTTATTAACCTTAATAAAAATATGAACCAGAAAATGATTCCAAATGTCAACGCAAAATGGGCCAAATATTAGGCCCTAATTAACAACAATTTTTTTTACAGCAACCCCTTTTCCTTTTTAATCCAGTTTGGGCCTTAATAGCAACAAAATAATTTCTTTTAAATAAACAGTAAACGCTAATGGGCCTAGTATTAGTAATTACACCTCCCTTTTTTAAAAACATTAACACTAAAAATAAGTTTTATTAATTAAAAACTTAACTATTATTTGAATAATTTTCCATTTTCGAATCGCATGGGCCATAGGCCAACATGCCTTGCGAATAGGTTTACGCACGAGTCTTCCTGATTTAGAGAGCCCCATTTTTCCTTAATTAAAATACACCCCCTAGTCTTGGATAAAGATGGGCCATCAGATACTGATGTACCACTTTTAATTAAGTATTTCTTCTATTTTAATCTTGAAAAATAAAATCATCGAGGTATGGCAAATTTAGGGTATACACTGTCACAAACAAGCTTCCCGTCAAACGAGGGAACGCCACCTATGAAATGAGGGCGACATAACTGTTTGAGGCGGTAAGTTAATTATTGGTAGAGGCTTGCGTGACGATGGACACCAGAGAGCCTTGATCTGCTTGAATATGCAATAACGTGCGAAGCTCATCCTTGTCAACATTCCATTGAAGTCGGAGCTGAGTGAGGCGATCTTCAAGGTGTTGCTCAAGTTCGTGCAAATAGCTAGACAGAGAAGACGCCATGGTTCCTCAAACTGATACCAATTGATACCAACCTTTTGGATATCAAGGAGGAACCAATAATATCTTACTCTAAACTAAAAACAACAACAATGATAACGTTATATGTTGGATTCAGAGTTGCAGAGCACATAAATTAATTTAGAGAAGAAGGCAAAATTGTTTACAATGTTGATATTTTCATTATGCCAAAACAATTATATAATGTCAATTGGTTACAAGCCACCTAATCATTTGCTAATGAAAACTACTAAGAATTTAAAAATAATGCACTAAATCAATTTTACACATACAACCAATCAAAATCTTTAAATTTGTCAAATCATTTAACTAATTTAAAAATAAAAATATATTTTAATTGGATACATGTCTCTCATTGATTGACAATGTCAAATATTTATACACTATTGATACTAAGGGTGGCAAAACGAGCAGTAACTAGTCAGGCTGACCCGCACACCCACCAAAAAATGACGAGTTGGATTGAGATTTTGGACTCGCCACCCACAAAAACACACCCCTCTAAAGAGCGTTATCCGCAAAAGCCCATCGTTCATATTAGTTTAATTTGTCACACCTTAAGTCCACCTTTTTTTTAATTAATTCTAATACATTTAATTCATGATGATTTTATTTTATACATTCATTTATGAACATATGTAATATTTTTTTACTTGAATTTTGTTAAAAAGAAAAAATTGTTTCAAAAAATTAGTGAAAAATCTAATTTAAATGTAAAAAAATACCTTTTAATGTACTAAAAAAATGAAAAACAAATAAATTAAAAAGTAAGCCCCGTCTAAGCTAATTTGGCAGGACAAACCAATATTTTATATCCATTTCAACTTAGGGGGCATAAACTAATATATCATCACAGAACAAGACCTAGAATCTAATGCCACCAATCTATCTAAGCTTTCTTAGGAGATTTCTTGGCCTTGGGAGATTTAGGCTCTTTAGCAGAAGCATTTTCATTCCTCTTAGGCAAAAGAACAGGATTGATGTTAGGAAGAACACCACCATGAGCAATGGTAACACCGGCAAGTAATTTTCCAAGCTCTACATCATTCCTGACAGCTAAACACAAATGTCTTGGACTGATCCTATTCTTCTTGTTATCGCGTGCCGCATTTCCAGCCAACTCAAGAACCTTCATATAAATAGTATAAACAGCAATTTATCAGAATTCGTAACTAATAGAAAACAAAAGTCTAACTGAAGAGGAAATTTTATTGTAATTCACCTCAGCAGCAAGATATTCAAGAACAGCTGCTAGATACACAGGAGCACCGGTACCCACACGCTGAGCATATCTACCTTTCTTCAAGAAACGGCCGATTCTTCCGACGGGGAATTGAAGTCCGGCTCTGACGGATCTTGTCACCGATTTCTTCCTTGGTCCTCCACCTTTCCTTCCTCCAGCTCCTTTCTTCACCTTTGTGCTTGCGTCCATTTTCACTCTGAATTTGATGTGTTGTGAGAGATTTTGAATATTGAAAATGGTGAGATGTTGACGAGGATTGGCGCTGCATGGTTTTATACTTTCACGGATCTTGCTTTGAAAACAGATCCACCGTTGGATTACAACTTATCTATGGGCTACTGTCACTTACCTGGCGATCCGTATCTCTTAAAACTAACCAATGGCAAGCCAGTTTGGTGGTCGATACTTTCTTTTCTTTTGCCTCCATGCAATTTTGTTTATTTACACCATAAAGGAAGTTGGTGCTAGTCTTCCCCCTAAGAGCACTCACATTCATGTGATTTAATTTTTGATGGTATAAATCGACTTCATTAACATATACTTTTTGAACTATTTAAACAATTTAAATATATTTTTTAAATATTAATATCATTCATCTAAACTTCTAAAATGAATCTCACCTATACTCCAAATTTATATTTTTACAATAATATAAATATATAACTGAAATAAATTAATTCAATTATATCATAATGTATTAAAAAGAAAATAACATATATTTAAAATAAATTAAAATATTAAAAAAAGTAAATTAAAAATATATTAAATAACATACTACATAACACAAATAAAGAAATACATTAAAAAATTTCATAAACACAAAAATAAATTGTTGGCAAAAAATTATATTAAGTATTTAAAATAATTTTTAGTTATGGTTATTCTCATTTTCAAAAATATTCATATAGGAAGTTGAGTTTCTAATGTATTGCTACAAGTCTCTGATGCAGTGAATCACGAAGGTAGATTTGAAAGGTTACCATGAAACGCGCAAGTCAATTGTAGTCAACAAGAAATGGGTAGAGTGAAATATGGAAAGTATGAAATGCTTAGGGTCTCACGTGTTTAGGAGTATTTATCTTTGGACTAAACTTATTTTAAGCCTCCTTTATATTGCTAATAGGTCTATTTTTATTGGGTCTTCGGTCGTCCCATAACAGTTTTGTTTTGGACTGGACCTACGCTTAGTCTGTGTCGTGCAAGGCCCGGTGTTGTATTCCAAAATTTGTCCTCTCGTTTCTCAAAGAATCAACCTAGACCCTCAAGTTTGTTTCAATCTAGTTGCAAATCTGAAATTACAAATTTTCCATGAGAATCGTTCACAGGGACAAAATGGTCATTTACACACCAAAGGAGTCAAACTATGACTTTTGAATCAAAAATCAAGTTACAAGAATCATATTTCATTAAGGCATGAAATTGGTTCATCAAAAATCAAAAGTCAGAAGTTACTTTGAAAATCAAATTTTCCAAGCATTTTCTAAGTGTCTAAAGAATATGACACTTCAGAACTTCTGAGCCAGCTTCTACGCAAGCGCAGTCAGAGGTTGCAAACACGGTCCAGAACGTGACGCTTCAATCAGAACATGCAGAAGCGATGCTCTTTGGTCAGAACATGATTCTTCAACACATGGGGGCTATGTTCAACGCTCCGGTCAGAGGATGCCCTTTAAGCATTTAGAGGTTACGCTTCTGGTCTTCTGCGATCAGAACATCACCAAATCCCAAACCTCGTTTAAGTAACCTGCTGCCTGCTATGGCACAGTCCTGCAACCAGCTGCCACAACACTCCAAGGTGCTGCTGATCTAGTCCACGCCTGCGTTTTTCTTGCACCAAATTAGCCTACGAAAACTGTGATTTAAAAACAAAGGGACAGTATGCCAAAAATGTTTAAAAATTCACTTGTTTTTCCCCCCAAAACCACAACAAATCCATTTATAAATAGTTTGTTCCATCACACATTGAAGAGGTGGGTTTTTGGACAGAGAGAATCACCAAAAGAAAGAAAAAGGCCTTGAATCTTTGCAAAAATTCCAAGAATCCAAAAAACTGTAAACACCAAAATACCAAAACCTTAGCATTTGATTCTAGCATCAAAACTCCATTGTTCCTTGACTAAAACCACCCCCACGGTTGTTGATTCATATACTTGAAGCTATTTCAACTTCTGTATTCATATTACCATACACTCTCCATTCACCTCCACCTCAAAAAAGTCAGAGTATTACCCCTTGGCTGTTCCAGAAGTTGAAAACCTCCATCTTGTTGAGTACGTGAGAAAGTTGCTCAGAACATCATCAGATTCTAAGACCAACCTCCAGTTTACAGAATCTTTTTCCAGCTGCAAGGTAAGCTTCTGCTGACTATCATCACGTTGCTTAACCATTATCAGATTTGCATGTTCAAAAAAAATTTCAATGTAAATATCATGCTTCTGACGTTATACATAGTCTGAGGCTTCGCATATTTTGCTTTCCTAAGTATGGAGAAAATCAGTTTCAGAACTTGTGAAAGAAATTAGAACTCAAATTTAGGATTAACAGGTTCGCACATGCCTCTGATTTATGGCACTGATATTTATTATTTCTGAAATGCTGTGAAACCTGCCATAACTGTCATATGCACATCTTCTATTTTGTGGAGAAATGACCAAATGCAGATGTTCTGACTACCATGAAGAGAGAGACCAAGTTCTGCCAGTGATATCAGAACTTCTGAGATCTAATTTGTTGTGGGTGGTATCAGAACTTCTGAAACCTACTCTATTACCGGTGGATTCAGAACTTCTGACTCTGCTTATGTTTTTTTTATTAACAGGAATTATGTTTTGCAGTATGCCAGAGTCAGAACTTCTAACCTCCCTTAATCAGCAACACGTTGATTCTATTTTATTTTTACTCACTATCTTTGCTATCATTTTCTATTTCATTTAATCAACAAACACCAAAAACATTTTTCCATGCCTTGCTTTATTTCTTAAAACAAAAGACCAAAAATATTTTCTTAAGCAAACTTATTTCTTTTCTTAAATAAATAAGTAATCTCGTTTCTTGCACATTCTGATCCATTCGATATGGTTATAATAATAACTTCGAATTTAACCTTACTTGCAACCCCCATTCATAAATGTGTACCCCCATCCCCCTAAAAGCGATGTAATAGCTTAGATTTTATTTTTTCTCATTTTATTCGTTTTTTTTAATATATATTGCTGGTAAATAGGATGTATGGCAAGACGTGAAAACAACAAAATAAACAACCCTAATCAGAATTAAAATGCATGCAATCAAACACACTATTCACACATGCACCCTTAGGGTAATCCCATTTTTGTTGCCTCGGAAACACAGTCATGTCCCTCAAATATGGGACGTTTTAGCAATGATCCTTCGATAAGAAGTTCGTAGTCCCTCGATGACCCTCGACGTTGCCTTTGATAAAACAATCTCGTCCCTTACAAAAATTGCTAAAACGTCTCATAAGTTGCTTTCGATGACTGTAAAATCGACCCGCGTCCGTCCCTTCACATCCAACGATGAGGTTTCTTACCAAATTAATGGTAAGAAAGCAACATTAAAAGGAGGAAGAAAAGAACAATTAAAAACCTTTTGAGTAGATAGATTCGCTCCTAGTTACTCATTTGCTCACGATAAAAACATTTTTACACCTACACTTTCATCTCGAAACATTTTCAAAAGACAAAATGTTTTGTATACGTTCTTATAGAGACGAGAACCATTGCAAAACATCTTTTCAAAACATTTTTCCGAAACACAATCCACAAACACATCTTTGAACCACTTTTCGAAATAAAAACTTTGTACGCGTTCTTATAGAAACGAGAACCATTACGAAAAGATTTTTTTCAAAATAATTTCAAAGCCCACACCACAAGCACATTGTCAAATAAAAGCAAGTGATCTAAACGAGTAACTAAGAGCCCATGGAAAACCATGGATGAAAAGGGTGCTAATACCTTCCCTTTTCATAATCTACCCCCTGAACCCGAGAAATAATCTCGAAAGGTCTTTCCTGTGCTTTTTTTACCTTTCCTTTTGGATAAAAGAAAACTCGATGGCGACTCTTGCTATCCGCACATATACAAACGCAAAACACCCAAGTCAGTTCTCCCACCGTATCACAGAACTGGAGACTCTGCTGGGGATTAAATTCTAAAAAGTGGGGTTACCTTAGGGTTAGATCACCTTTACTCGCTTTCATTATTTTATTTGTGTGCTTTATATTTAGTTCTTCGTATTGGGTTTGCTTTGATCCTCCACCCGGATCTGGGACACCTTTTTAGGTAAATGGCAATAGATTGTGGAGACTGTACGGCGTAGACCGATATGGTTGAAACAATGGCTATGTTAGTGTGACACATTTGTGGGTACCGGTATCCCTCATGGTGAATCGAGGAGAATACGAGGCCGCTGAGTGGCGTCATGAAGCACTAATTGACCTTAGAACCCTAATTGAACAAACTTGGCCATTGGGACGTAGTGAGGTAGCCAGTTTCGGTGTAAAGCTGAAAATTGGTTGATACTCGATACTACACTCATTGAGGCTAGACTTTTGGGATATCTCGGCTGCAAGAAAATATTATTGTGTTGATACAATGCCTAAGAGAAAGGTCGATGATATTGAGATCCTTTAGAACTCGATCATTATTTCTAGGATAGGTTGAGCCAACTAGACTTCAAAAGGGTACTTACCTACAAAACTCATGCAAGCCTAAAACATAGGGATCTGTTTATTGTATGTGTATATATTTGCTTGTACATAAACATCATAAACATCGTCAACATCATATGCATGCTCACTAACCATTTCAAGGATTTAGAAATTTATCTTTGTTTTTGTTTTGTAGGACATGAATTCTCTCCAAAGAAACACCATCTGAATCAGCTTTGTAAAAGCACATCCTCAACTTCAAGAGTTAGCCTCAAGAGTGCCCGTGGATTCTCCTTTTATCAAGAAATATGGTCGACTCCTCAGTTTGGGTACATCCAACTTCCAAGAAGAAATGATGTGTGTACTATTCCAATTATTTGATCCCGTACATCATTGTTTCACTTTCCCGGACTATCAGTTGGTACCTACGCTAGAAGAGTTCTCTCTACTCTTAGGGTGCCCGTGCTTAATCAGATATCATTCATCGGTCTAGAAGGGATTCCAAAACCTGAAGTCA